TGCAGTGTATTGTGGTTTTCGTGAGCAGCACTAACATTTGCTTTCTGCGATTATCTAGGAAGAACCTCTGGATCGCAGCAAACACTGGGTAGATTCGGACGACGAAGAGGATGAAGAGGAAGAAGAGGAGGAGGAACTAATTATTCATGGGGAAATAGAAGAAGGCATTATGTCTGTTGACACCATCTCAAGGTAATTCTCTATACTTCTGTTCTTTTGTTGCCAGTTATTTTAATTGCAAGGCACCAGCTTTTTTATTTCAATTAAATAGTGCAGTAGACACTTGGTTTCTAATTTTCATTGTTGCTGTAAGCATGTAACAGTACTCCAGCTGCTGTGGAAACACCTGATGTTATCGACCTTCGAAGCTGCAGAGGAAGGAGCCAGATAACCAGGCAGAAAGGCCATTATACCAGGTAAGTAAACTGCTCTCTGTGTACGAGAAAGCAAAGTGGTGTTAATCATCAATGTCTTGATGGTTGACAAATCATTCTGTTATGGCACCGCTTGGCTTGGCTAGTCGTTGCTGTTAATCATCAACACGCTGTTTCTTCCCTCTGAAGGTTCTTGAACAGAAAGAAGAAATGATCACCCAACGGATGCTGTTCGCGTCGAGCCACCCATATGCTTCCCTAGCCAAACCTATTGCGTAGTTCTCCCTCGATTCCCGTATAGTTTGTCAACCATAAAAGTCACACGCCGCATGGCCTCACTTTGCAGGTATGTGCTGGTGGGAGCTCAAGATAAACCGTGTCATCAGGCGGCAGTATTGGTGATGGACCTGGGGAATTGGGAAAGCCTCCAAGTGACAGTTGACTTACCTATTAAAAAGTTTCTTTTTACACCATCTAATAATTGCTACATTTCCTTTGTAAACCTGCTATTGTTTCTTTCCAACCGCATAGGCACCCCACCCAGTATATTAAATGTTTTTGGATTCCTGCTGCATCATGATGAACCTTGTAAATTAAGTTAGTCGCATTGCACTAATGGTTTCTCTTGAGCAGAACTATCATTTTCTTTCTGCAATTATGTAGGGAGATGAGTTGGATGAAGAAGAGAAGGAACTGGAGGATGGGAAAATAGAAAAAGGCATTCTAGAAGAGGAAGAGGTACTGGAAGATGGGAAAATAGAAAAAGGCATTCTAAAAGAGGAAGAGGTACTGGAAGATGGGGAAATAGAAGAAGAAGAAGGCACTCAGGAAGAGGAGGATGAGGAGGATGAACTGGAAGATGGGGAAATAGAAGAAGCTACTCATGAAGACGTAGAAGAGAAGGAGGAACTGGAAGACGGGGAAATAGAAGAAGCTACTCAGCAAGAGGAAGAAGAGGAGCTGGAACATGGGGATATGTACAAGGTATTTCGGCGAGGAGGGGTAATTGATCATCAAGTTGTTGGTAATTAACATAGTGCTCCCTGTTAAGTTTGCTAGTCGGTGCTGACAATCGTCAGTTTGCTGTTTCCTCCCTCTGTAGGTTCTTGAACAGAAGGAAGAATGGACCACCTCTGCCGGGGCACTGTACATGTTGAACCACGCGTATGCATGCTTTCCTAACCAAACCCCTATCATGCAGTCCTCCCTCAATTCATGCTTAGCTTGTCAAACCATAAAAACACAACTCACAAGCTGCATGCGCATTCTCGTGTTAATCACAGGTACGTGCTGGTGGGAGCACAAGATAAACCACCATCGTCGTTGTCATCAGGCCCAAAAAGGGTGAGCAGTGTAGTTGTCGTCACGTGTTATTTAAACAAGTTCCTTGCCTGATATTGAGTCTTTGCTGCTTAAGAACCTGGGGCTGGAGAGAGTGGACGTCACCATCCACCTGGACCAGGTCGACGCCGTGCACGGCACTCTGGCGACAAAGTAAGACCGTCTCACCGGCCATTTTCTGTTGCACAGTGCAGGGATATTATGCATGGTGTGGCATGTTTTGGTTACCTACCTATGTGTTTCGGTTGACAGGTACAGGGAGTTATGGGAGGAGGGAGAGTGCGCGGGCAAGAGCAAGAGGAGCGGGAAGATCGGTGGGGAAGGGAGCTAGCCGTTGTGGTTGTCTTGGAAGAAGAGCAGGAAGATGGACTTCAAGTTTTAGAAGAGTAAGAGAATGACCTCTATTTTTCGTCTGCGAACTAACTCATTGGAGGAGGTAGACTAGTGTTTGACGACCTGATGAACAGCTCCCGTCACACGGAGGAGAATGTGTAGCTCGTGCGGAGTAGTGTAGATGCTGGAGTAGGAGGAATGTGGTTTAGGTGATGCCTTAGGTAGGATGTAAAGTTTGATTTTTGTAAGGTGGGATTCAGCTGCTGGCCTTGAAGATAGTGTCAGTGGCTAGACTTGTTAGACTGAAGATAGTGACAGTGGCCTTGAACAGGCTATCCGACTAGGAGGATGCAAAAAATAGTCAAAACATTAGAAGACTTGTTTTTCACCGTGCAGTATTTCTGTAGAGGTGGGTTTGTTTTCTTCTTGTGCACGCATAATCTTATTATATGCTCTTAGTTCTAACTCTTGTTCTAAAACTTCACACATGGCAGGTATAGTTGATCAATCCCACTACATAATTTGCCTTCTTGAGTCTGAATCACCAGGTGGCCATCAAATAGCTGTTGAAATGATATCAGCAGATGAGCACTCTCACATTGCTAATCTTCGCACTTCTGTGAGTAGTACTATTTATGATCTAATTTAGTTCTCCTAGTGTAATACCTCTTGGTCTGCCTCTTAGGCAGTGACAGACTGCTGATATGTTTAAATACTATATTGTTTTTTTGTTTGTGGAGTGTGCATGCTAAACTAGTTGCTGCCATGGATGAATTTAAATTTTTAGGAACCGTTGTTTTCTGATACTGAAAGAATATTTCAGCTCTATTTATGAGTCTTGGATTGTCTATGCAGATGAAACGGGATGGCTACACGCTATGCAATTTTACGGTCTGTAATGGATTCTCTGATCTCAGACAGGTAAGATGAGGATTCCTTGTAATACTCGCAATTGCACCTTTATTAGAATCAGCCAAAAAACTTGCATCCACAAAGGGCGATAGTATCCAGTGTGGTTTCGTGGGTGTGCTTTTCATGCAGGTTACATGTGAAAAACAAACAATGCAGGGAAGTACTTGCGAGAGTGGATTTTTTTATTTTTTTTGCACGGGTGCATTGGAGGAATTTAATTTAAATATTTTTAAAATCAAATTAAAAAAAAAAGAATTCTTCATGATCATATGGATATATATTACACACATGTAAAGTTTGGTGATGAAATAAGTAAACATGTGAGCTATACACAAATGACAAAATGGTGATTTCTAAATAGTGAATAATAGAAGCAATGTTCATCTTTACAAAATTACGATTTTGTCATTTTTACGTAACTCACATGGCTACTTATTTCATCATCAGAATTTGCACATGTGTAGTAGCACATCCATATAAACATGTTGATTTTTTTTTTGGAATTTTTTGAAAAACTTTGAAATACCATTTTGGCGCTACTAAAAAAATAGGGCTCACGTCTAGAGCTCGTCCAGCAAAGTGATTTTTCTTGTACTTGCACCATATAGTTCTTTTTTTTAAAACGTTTTGCTGTCGAATGGCTACATTTTTGCGAAGTACTACAAGAAAGGGATGCACACACACATTTTTTTAGGGGTGATGCAGACGCACACTAGGGATGTTTTTGCTTGCAACTTTCTGTCATTAGCAGGTTGCTTATATAAATGGTGATCCTCCCAACCACGCCGCATATATAAATGGTGATGAACATTGGGCTTTAGCACATCATCCCTCCATGGCAGGCCGCATGCACACATTTTTTTAGGGGTGATGAACAATGGGCCTTAGCCCACCATTCCTCCATCGCAGGCCGCAGTATATAAATGGCGATCCTCCTCCCTTCCACGCCGCCCCCTCCTCCCACCTAGGGTTCCACCAGAGAGCAAAAGGGGATCGGGTGTCAGTTATGCGCCACCGCCTGCTGTTCGCCGATCTTCCCCCTCTCGCCGTCGCAATCGCCGTCGGATGCCTCGAATGAGGATCCAGTGCTGCTTGCGAACAGGCGACCAAATAAGCAGCTCCCCTTTTGGGAGCTGCAGTCTCCAATCGAATCAGCAAGAGCAGCAGCTATTTTGGGAGCGGCGATCCGCAATCAAGCGGCTCCTCTCCGAGCTGCAACCGGCAATCCAAGCAATCAAGCGGCTCCTCCCCGAGCCGCAGTCCGCAGTCGGAGCGGCTTCCTTTTTTAGTGGCTAATCAATCCGGAATCAAAGGAGTCCTTTCCGGATTACAATCAGAAGCAGGTCCTGTTTTGAATTCATTATCCGAGTCTCTATTGGTGGCGGGACCCCAGCAGGTATATATATATATATCTGGCCGGGCGGACACCGCTGTACCCGCCAATCTTCGGACGAGACTAAGCCGCGGCAACTCGTGAGCCTTCAGCTGCCAAATTCACGGTGACCAAATCTTCTCGGGCCTCGGCGGATCTACGCGGGAGCCATGGGGGTGAGTTCATTGTCCTCTTTTCCTTAACCGATCTTTTGTTTTCAGAGAGAACCCTTTATATGGATTAGATTAGATCTGATCAAAGTTGAAAATTTGCACTGAATCAAAATTTACATCTTTGATAATTGCAATTTCTGCACAACGAAAATCTAGTCTGATTTAAAATAAGAAACAGTATCCAATAAGCAGTAGTTGTTCGTTTTTCTTTATAGTTTAATAAAGAATTATTATATTTTTATAACAACAAGACAAACATCAAAGTTTAGGTATCATTAATCGTTCTTGAAGTCGAAGATTTTTCTTCGTTTATTTTACTTTCAGAGTCTGGGTGTCTCATACCATCGAAATTACATGTTTGCAATTACATAGAAGTTGCACATCTTAAAATATCGTATATATTTTTACATTTACTGTGGAATAAACTCTTATTTGTCTTGATGCCAAACGCAGAAGGGCAAGAAAGTTGATAGGCTCAGCGCATTGCCTGATGACGTTCTGGTCAACATTCTTGACCGACTCAATGTCCGTGAGGCTGCAAGAACCAGCATCCTCTCGAGACGGTGGACTCAGCTCTGCGCCAAGCTGTCTCGGCTTATAATAAGCGCTCTGGATTTCCTGCCAGAGGGTGTGTTGTGCACCAACATCTCTGATGATGAATTGGTCCGCATCAATGCAGCTGTGGTTCAAGCGACAGATAGCATATTGACGCGCAGAAATCCTGGAGAGCACACGATCCGCCTTCTGTCCACAAGGTTCTACTTGAGAGATGATGTCCCCATATCCATTGGGCGTGCTGTTGGTCATGCCATGGCGGCACACTTGGTTGACAATGCAAAATTCACTGTTATGACAGGGAAGTATGAGATCAGTGACATGGCTGAGGATGATCTGATCACCTCTGCGAGAAATTTCATGTTGTTCTTTGATGCCTGTCCAAGTGCATTTGGTGGTCTCACTGCCCTTGACCTAGAGAATTTGAGATTTGGGGAATCAGACATATCCAACGTCCTCATCACTTGCAAGCGCTTGAAGCATCTGCGTTTGTACAATTGTGACTCTGGTGATTGCAGCACGCTGCAAGTTGAGCACGCTCATCTCAGTGAGCTTAGTATCGTCCACTGTATGCTTGAACGAGTTGAGCTGAAGTGGCTCCCTCAACTCACAACGATGGTCTTTGAAGGTTGGCTACAATTCCAAGATCCACTGTTCATTGGTCATGTCCCATTGCTGGAGGTTGTAAGCCTCACAAATCTTGCCCTTAGTTACCACAAGATGGTGTTGTTAAGTGAGTTTCTTAGCGGTACCTCTATACGAGATCTGAAGTTGGCATTTAATTCTGAAAAGGTATGCCGAGATTGTCACTTTGTGAGCTGTGGCTTGACTTCTTCTTTGCCCATCTCATCATGTGCTTATTTGTTGCAGATTTGGGTGCAGCCAGAATTTCCGACGCCATGTCTGTCATCTGTTTTCCGCCAACTGAGGTTTGTGAATCTGCTTCATCTTCCTGAAGGGTATGAGCTCACCTGGACAATGTATATTCTTGAAGCGGCACCCTTACTGAAGGAGCTATACATGACGGTATGTGTTTACGTAAAGATATCTCTTTTGCCACATGGGCTTAATGTTAGGTATTAATATATCTCTTTTGCCACATGGGCTTAATGTTAGGTATTGCAAGATACTCTCACCAGATAGATACAAAAGATGGGTGCTCTATTGACAATTTATTTTTATCTTTGCCCTTTTTGCTGGCATGCAGGTATGGGATCATGCCTGTAATATGGAAATGGACGAGGAGAAGAGGAAAGAAGAATCGTATAGTGAGAACAGGGGTGCAGAGTGGGACTTGGTGGCAGCAGATTTCCAACACCACAGTTTGGCCACACTCGTCATTTTTGGCTTTGAATCTGAAGATTGCTTTGTGAATTATGTGAGACGTGTTCTGGTGGCGGCGGTCAATCTAGAGGATGTGTTCCTGTATAGTAGGCTGGAGTGTGGCAGTTGCGAGGAAAAGAAGCTTGGGAGGTACCCCTGGACTAAAAGGCAGAGGATCTCCATGAAGAAGAGACTCACCATTGGGATCGAGTCGTTTGCGATATTTCACTATGGTGAGCTGAGGCCTGGTCATGTAGCAAAAATGGAGTACCCAGAGTGCTCACTGCTCGAGGAAAAAGAGGCAAAAAGGTGTTGATTTTACAGGTGCGAGGTGTGTCACAAGAGTTGTTATCTTTGGTTGTGAGCTTGTTTTTAGTTTTTATTTTGACCGCATGAACCGTATTGTTAAGTTGTGTCCTCAGCAACTGTATTACTATTATGTTTGGAAGAAGAAACACTTACTTTTTCTGAGGGTATAAGTATATTATTGCTTTATTACGTATCAGTTTGTGCACGATAGCCCCTTACAACGTCAGGCTGGTATACCAGCATCATCTGGATAATGTTAAAACGCCTGCTCCAAAATATATTGGTATCATGATGATTGCCGATGACAAAATTTGTACATTGAGAGCAGACGCAGATTGTTTGTATGTTACATTCAATGGTTAAGATATGTCATAGGAATAAATCAAATTGCTGATCTTTATACTTCATCAAATTTACAATTTGGCGTCATACAGAGAAAATAAACACAGAAGCAAGTAATAAGACTCCAGCAGATAAATACATTTGTATTAAAATATTTAGGAATGAGAGCGATCAAACTTTGGCACGGTCGTGCCAAACACAAGGCCACTCACACGTGTCATTTTAGTTCTAGCAGGCAACGCAAGATGGAGAAAAAAAAGTGGGGTAATAATTAATCCAACGAAAATGTTAACGCCCACATCGCCCACACGCCTCCATCACCACTCATTTTGCTATGTATGAATAGATGACATCAGCAGAAATTTTTTTGGTTTTCGGCTTAAAAATGTTGTATCTCTTAAATAAAAAAGCGAACTAAAAATCCATTTTCACCATTAAATCCGTCTCGACGAGATCTTCAAAACTAGACCCCATGTTGATATGTTTCGATGAATTTTTTTTTTGCCAGAAGTTGCCACGATGTTTACACTGTAGTTGCCATAGGGCTTAAACTAAAGTTGCCATGTGGCAATTTTAGTTTGTAGATCATGACAATTTTAGTATTTTGATGATGGCAACTCCAGTACTTTGATCATGAAAATTATTTTTTGTATGAACCATGACAATTTTACGTGCATGTATCATGGCAATTTTAGTTTATGGTTCATGGCAAGTCTAGTTTCTTAATTCCCCGTTTTATAAATGTCAAAATTTACTTTTAAATATAGAAGAAAATAGCTGAAACATATCATGGCAACTTCAGTGTAAACATCACGGCAATTCATAGGCAATAGACATGGCAACTTTTAATCCAAAAAAAATTTCATCAAAACATATCAACATGGGATCTAGTTTCGAAGATCTCATCGCGAGGGATTTAATGGTGAAAACAGATTTTTCAATCGGATTTTTTGTTTAAGAGGTAAAACATTTTAAAAACTGAAAATCCAAAAAGATTCCTGCATGCATGCATGCGATGACGTGTCAATCTGTTTACATTAGAGACGTGTGGTGCGTCTCCCTTCATGCCACACGTGTGACAGTTAGCGTGACCCTAATCCAATGCACCACAAGACTGGCATGCAACAAAGCCCCGCAAATTTCATCTAAATAAAGAATTACTTAGATTAATTTCAACAGTGTATCAACATTGAGGCGGACTGAGATGCAATCCCATGGACAAACATACTAACATAGTCAAATTATTGCTGAACGGTCCAATAGTCGACAGCCTTGTCTCAAACCATGAAACACAGTAACAATCACCAAGGCAAGAACTAGAGTCAATTGCAAAAAACCACCACATTTCAAGTTCATGTCCGGATTTGCCACCAAATTTCTTGGCCGCCCCAAAAATCTACCGATTTCCTCACTAATTTTCTCAGTAAACACCGATGATCAATTTGGGGCAAATTAATTCAATTTCTGACATACCGGGCCCACTGGCCAGGTGCACATGGCACAAAATGGTCAACACTGTCTGCTGACTGTTAAGCTGAACGGAGGGCCCACCCGTCAGCATTGTCATCTCTCTCAAATCAATCTTCTTCTCCTCCTCGGGGGCATTTCAACGAACATCTCGCGTGCATGGGTAGAGATGGATGAGAGGGCGCAGAGGTGATGGTCTGCGGATCAACCGTTCTACCGAGGTCGGCGCCGACAGCAGCAGGAGGCAGGCGGCCGGTGGAACGGTCTTCCCTGGCTAGAGAAGGCCGACGCGGGGCGTGAGCCGGCCATGGCGGGGCCGTGGGTCGTGGCGGCGCGCGCTGCTGCCGAGCCGTGGCCATCGGGAACCCCAAGGTGTGGCTGGCGGGCTTCTTTGACATGGCCGTGGGCTGCGGTGCCAGCGGCGTGCTGGCGGCCATGATGCGGGCGCGACGCGTGCCGGCTCTTCTATGCCGGGGACGTGCTCGCGTTCCTCATGCGTAGCCTCCGTCGCGGTTGGTCGTCCTTGTTCAGAAGTCTCCGCAAGCTGCTCCGACGCCCATCCCGCGCCGTCCCATGCATCAAGCTCGCCGCATTCCGGAGGTGGGGGCAGAGCTCGTCGAGGCAGGGCAGGGGGAGTAGCCG